TATTCACTCTTTAATAGCAAAATGCAGTAAGACAAACCCAAACTAGGCCAAATGATGCACCTCAAGTGCTCCTTTTAACCAACAGCTTGTGTGCTGCGCATGTTGGAACAGCCTTCACTAGTTTGGGCGGATGATCCAGGAAAGATGTCGTGCTTTGTTTCCCAATAGAGCTTTTCATATCTCCTCTGAAGGCTTAAAGTATTTACAGTGCCGCAGTCTGCTTTTCCTCTAGCAAAAACCTCCCCGAGGACAGCATTACTGCTAATGGGAGAGATATGGCCAAACAGATGGAGCTGGCATGCTGCAGACTCATCAGCTGTCTCTGAGAGTTTGAGATGGGCTTTTGTTTGCTTGCTTGTTTGTTCGTTTTAGAGAGATGGCCAATTTTTAGGGTTAAATCTCAAATACCAATTCCCTCGTAAGGTTCAGTGGCTTAATTGTGCGCCAGGCACGGAGCGGGATGGCGCCATTTGTGAAGAATTAAATGCATGATGAAACATCTCCTGCAGGAATATGCAGTGTGATGATGATGTACTTGTGCTTTGTAGTCAAAGAAGTGATGTTTTCATCAATAACACAACATACAGGCTCCTGATTTCATGTGAAATTATGAAACTTTTAATTTCTAATAATTGTCATTTTGTTGCTCAGGGATACAGAATAAGAAAAGACTTGTGAAGGAGGAAATACTGTTTACAAATATGAACACACAGACAAGCCCCAATGGCATAAGTGGTAACACGTATTAAAGCTATTAAAAACAGATAATATACAGGTATTTACATAAACTGCTCCGCAGTTTGAAGTCTCTGTTTAACTGTCAAACCCCAAATGCATTCCTGCATTTTATGACAAAAGCACCTTAGTTGTTTATTTTGATATGCTGGGATGTGTATACATGGTCAGTTCATTAAAATTATAAAACAAACAAAAAAAAAAATACTGCAAGCTTTGACATAAAAACAAAATGGAACTGCCAACAGTACGTAGAGAAGACTGGATTGGTCATAGATAGAGGATTCACCATCACAATCACACGAGGAAGTTTGATGTTTGAGTCAAATGGAGCTGCAACAAGTAATCAATTAATCGATTAGTTGTCAATCCATTGATTCCAGCTTTTACAATTTAAATATTTTCTGGTTTCTTTTCTCCTCTATGATGTTAAACTAAATATGAACAAAACAAGACCTTTGAGGGTGACATCTTGGGTTTTGGGAGACTCTGGTTGACATTTCTCACCACCTTCTGATATTTATTAACCAAAGAACCGATTGATTAATTGAGAAAATAGATAACAGCTAAACCAGCAATGAAATAAATTCCCAGTTGCAGCCCTGGAGTCAAACCAGTTACCTACAGAGAAGGTTAACAGGACGTTCTCTCACCTGCACTTATGAGGGACGAATGGAAAAAAAATCTTCAAGTCAACCTGACATCATGGAGGGTTTGGCTCCAGAAGTCCTCACTGATTTAAACTGTATAAAAACCACCTCCAAAACTAACAAATGTACTGATGAAAGAGACCACATCTGAAGGGACCACGAGTACACAAAGAACTGTTTCAAATAAACTAAAGGATTACTGGACGTGATCCAAAACGCTAACCAAACATTGGCGGCATCATAATCCGCTACCAGTTAGCAAGTGGTCAAATAGAACAAGAATATAATAGGAATTTTCTAGGGACCATTGTAGAGTCATTAAAAAAATAAAAAATCATATTTCAGTGACTAATTTATAGAAATGACCTAATTTTGATTAAACATTCTGTTGCTAACTGGGCTACAGACTGACAGAGGATAGTCATTTTCATGTAGACACTGAGCATGTTGGAATCCACTCAGATCTTCTTGGGTATGAGACACATAATTTCGACTGAGTCATGGACTCATGAAGATGTCTACAAAACATGAAACCTCTACGGCTGTGAGGAGATAGTCGGAGATGCTTTCAAACTTCCTGCAGTAGCTTAATGTGTCACTGTGCAGCATCATTATACTGGGATGGTGAATCTCTTAGCTTTAGCAAATAAAACCTGAACTATCTGTGTCCCTCTTATCCCAGACGGTGTATCTGGGGTAAGTGGAACAATGTTCTGTTTGCAATACCGATGAACTGCCCTTTTCAAGTGTTCTTCCAAATGGCACAAAGAAGACATTTGATAAAGCTCTGACAGTTAGGGATGCATGATGATATCAGCACCAGCATCAGCTGATAAACTAAATATCAGCATCAGCTCCAAATGAACACTGACAGTCAGATAATGCCCTTAAGGCTACAAGTGTATGAAAATGTCCCACAACAAGTTGATGTTCTTATTTTGCTTAGTAAATGTGTATCTACACCTGCCAGGGGGGCCAACATGATAAGGCATAATAATATGTTAATTCCACGACAGGACAGATCTGATGTTGTCTGCAATTAGGACGAAGATGCATGTGCGTATCGGTAATTGGAGGAAAATATACCAGCAAAGATCTAACATCGTGCATCCCCAATGACAGCAGTCTGTCTGAACACACTTCAGTCTGACAGATATTTGGCCTGTATTGCACCACAAATACTGCATAAAACTGATTGCACAGATTCCTGATACAACTTGTGTTTGTACACAAAGTCCCTGAAAGGAGAGATCCAGGAAGGAACGCAGCGCAGCACATAAGCAGGAGACAATGATGATAATACTTTGATTTACTTTATACTAAAAAAAAACATATCTTTAGTGCAAAAGAAGTATGCCATCATTTGACCTAATTGTGTGCTGTGCTACCTTGGTTTTAGATTTTAGATTTTAACATTTCTGGGGAGTCCTTATTTACGAAAACACAGCATCTCCCTCCACATCCTGAAAGGAGTATTTCATAAGCACCATACTTGTAATGTTCTTTATTTGGTTCTTCTTTCTTGCCACCAAGCAGTATTCATGGCAAAAAAAAAAGACTGAACAATCCAACCCAGACATTCTGCCAATGCTCTGGGACATCTTCACTGGATGCTTGGTGCCACCAGGTATCCATTGAAGGTGATGTAAACATCCACGTCGTCACTGTAAATGGCGTTCTCCCTCTCCCTCTTGTAGAGCCGCACCCAGACCTCGTCGTTCAGAGCCAGATCCACCATGACGCTCTGACTCTGCATGATGGACCTCTCGCTAGGCTGAGCGTACAGGATCACCTGCTCCTTGTCGTTGTGCATCAGGTGGAGGTAGGTCTCCTTGAAGTTCCAGGTATGGATGTTGATGTTGAAGAAGTAGATCCCTGGCACGTAGCAGTAGAACTTGCCTTTGAACATGTTGAAGTGCTCGTGGAGGTTGACGAACACCGTGTCGAATATCAGCGCCTGGTAGTAGTCCACGCTGTGCAGGGACTTGCGACGTCCCACCGAGAAGGAAGAGTGAGGGATCTTGCAGGCGTCACCGGGAGCACCTGCCTGGCCTTTGCTGCCTTTAGTGCCCATGGGTCCTCGGGAGCCGGGAGGGCCCTCTAGACCTGGTTTCCCAGGTGTGCCTTTGTCTCCTTTGTCTCCTTTATCACCTAAAGGGACAAGATTAAACTCAGGTAAGTGGCACGGACAGAAACACAACAAGCTAGGTATTTATAGTGGGTTCCCATGGAAGCTTTAGCTCTTAATATAAGTTTGTTTCATACAAAAAAATATATCATTTGACAATAAGAAGACATCATTTTATCAGCTGAGATGGAATTTAGCCCTTATTGTACCAAGTAATAGTCAAGGTTGGGCCATCCGCATGATTCTATTCCCAACTGGCTGTCCCAGACGTGCTTGCAAGAACATGGAAAACATCCCAGATATAGAGAGGTCATTCTGCCATTAAGCAAAGTGCAGCTTTTACTGAGTAGGCAACAGGTCAGAGACTTCATGTCGGGTCTTAGTGCAGAAGAGACGGTCCGTTTTGTCATGCACACAGTGCCACTGAGCGGTTTTTGTCTTTCATAACGGCTGTAAATCCAGACAAATTCCAGCAAACCTTTTACATCTGACATTCCAAATCCTACTTATAAATCTGAAGGAGTTGTTCTTTTAAACTGCTGCTTATCTTGATTTTGAACTCTTCGTGACCTTGTTACAAACTGTTCTAACGGAACAATGTGTTTTCAGAAGCTACAGGTTGTAGATGCTACAGTTGGATCCAGTTATTAGGTAATCTATGACCTTTATTGACTTCTACTGAAGACCAGCAGGAACTGCAATAACAGGCACAATTTATGTCTTCCTACATCTACAGAGAAGGGAAAAAGGGGATAAGTGTTGGCTTTTGAAAGTCAAAAATGTCCTGATTGAAAGCACACAGCTGGATAAAAAGTCCAAAAGGTTCCGTAAGTAAGATGTAGCGCCTACATAAATACTGTCACATTAAAGTGAGACAGTGCAGGAGTAGAAAATAATACGAAAGTAGGCTGTATTTATAAAACCATGAAAACTTGTAGTATGTTCAGGTATTGAATGTTCAGATGCCATACACACTTAGAGTCAACATAAAGTGTCTTGGTAAGCTGTAGCTCCACTACGATCCTAAGACACTACGAGTCTCAGGAAGTCAGCTGAAGGTATCTTGTCATTAGCTGCTTCATAATGACAGTGGAGAGAGACATATAACATGTAGGTTCAAAATGTTGTAATCTGTTGGCTGCGAACATCACAACTACCAAACAATTCCCGTCATTTGCATATTAATCAAACTGTGTCCCAAACCCTTGATTTCATGCAATGTTAAAAACGTTACTTGGCTCTGTCTATTCTTGTTTATATCCTTCCTGTTTGTTGGATTGCGCTCTGCTGTCACCGCATCCCAACACTTTCTTTGCATTTTACATTTATATCGAACTTGACAACGAGCTCTGAAAATGATTAATGAGCTTATGTATATTCTGCTGCCCTGCTGCTGCTGCTGCTGCTGCTGACTGAAATGTCTCTAGTAAAGTGAGCATTTTGAGCGTTGCTATTGTTCCCGGTACACAAAAACCTCTTTGCCATGAAATCAAGTGACACTGCTTATAAAGTAGACGTTCATAAATGTCATCACCGTATCGCTATGAAGCAGCTGTGGGAAAAAAAAAAAAAAACACCCGTAAGCTATGAAAACATTCTTTCAACCATAAACAGAAGCAAATCAAGTGAAAAACAGTGCAGCTTATTGGAATTGTTGGATGAAAGGTTGGTGACAGTTTTAGTGATTTCCCCATTCAGCTGAGAGATGATTTGCTTCTTTACTGACTGCGCTAAAGAAACCTACTCAAAGCTTTCTGGTTTTCAAGCTTCAAAAATTCAGATATGTAAATAAACGTAGGTCCATGAGGCTCCGAGGCTTGGGTAACATAAAATCTCGCTACAGTACATTTCCCAAAGTAGGAACAACAAAAGTGAGTGCACTTGTGATGACTGACACTTACAAAGATCTAAACTGGGCACAGATGCTATCAATGGAAATAAGAGTCTGTGTGATGAAAAAACCTTCTTCAGCACAAACCTACAAGATTAAACTTTGCTAAAGAACATGAAAAGGATGAAATGGTAGCACATCCCTTGGTCACATGAGACCAACCAACCATAAATTTGGTTCAGATGGGCTCCAGCCATAGACGGTATAAAAGATGGACGTAGCAACCGGCCCTGAAAAATGAAGCCAACCTGGAAGTGTCAAAAACCTGCAGTATCACTACGTCCGCTAGTCCTGGCTCCAAAAAGCCCTGGCTCCCATAGAAATGAATTGGGAAAGAAGTGATCACAGATTACGAAATACTGCATTTCTACAGCTCAGGATTTTTTTCTTATTAGTTTTCATGGTCAAGTCCAGAGATCAGGTGGCCAATCTGAAAATAAATCAATACTGAATTTTTAAAAAATCGTCAACATTTTGCGGGGCAAGGGGCGTGGCTGGCTTGATTGACAGTCGGCAGTGACCATACAGATGAAGTGAGCAGAAGGCGGTAAATGTGGGCGGGGCAGAGAGGGCGTCTCAATCCGTCTGACCAATCGCTGCTCCTATGGCTCCGCCCCCCTCCGACGATTTTTGCGTCACTGGCTCCAAAAATCCAAGATGTCAACCAGGAAGTAGCAAAACCCTGGCTTCATTTTCTCAGTGCAGAAACCAACGGGTGACGTCACGGTAGCTACGTCCATCTTTTATACAGTCTATGGCTCCAGCATGATTGGCGTAAACCTGTTCAGGACTACCACAGTGAATGCATGGTCCTGACAGTGAAGCAAAGTGGGGACAGTGTGATGAGTGCAAAAGGTGCTTGGAGGGAAAGTACATTTACAGATGGGACCATGAATGGCTGTAGATATACCAAAAATACTGCCTGACAAGATGATTCCCGGTCTGTAGAAGAGGAATATTCCAGCATAATAATGATCCAAAGCACACTGGTCTAATATGTCGACTGACTTGAATCCAACAGAATAGCTTTGGGGTATTTTAAAGGAAAGGTAGAGCAACACAAGCCCTCCAGCAAAGCAGCTGAAAAAAATACTCTGGAGTATGACAGAACATCTCCACAGAGACTTGTGCAACTCTGGTATAATCCACGCCAAAGGTGGATTCAGTCTGGTATTAAAAATATGGGTCGACACACTAAAGATGTGAATCTCTGAACGGTGCCTGTATTTGTAATATGGTGAATCTAAACTGTTTTTAGTTTTACACAGCAGCAAACACTTGTTGTTCAACTTAGAAATAACCCAATTCCTGTGAAGTGATGGGATTTTGAATCATTTAACATTTAGGTGACATTGTGCAGCACCGACTTCTGTTGAATACTGCATGTAGTCTCTAGAATGTTACGTAAGCCCGATTCATTGAGGCAGATCTGATTGTGGCCGTGAGTTAAACACCTCGGGGATGGGTTAACCACACAGGAAGAGGCCACAGGACTGCTCTCACTCACCATGACCAACACTTCCTGGAGACGTACACACTGCTCATCCTCTCCACAGACCCGCAATGACCTCTCCAGCTGTGACCGGTGTCCACACAAACAGTCCTGAGGAGAGTTACAGTAGTTTCCACAAACAGCAGCTTAGCTGCTCCTCTGCACTTCATGACCTGTGGCACTGACCTGTCAGCTTCAGATCAAAGAGCATCCTCATGCCCACTTAACTCTGCATGTGCCTACTTCTTCTTCTTCTTCTTTTTTTACAGTATCTACTTTGAAATAAATAATTTCCTTCACTTCCAAGTTGGAAAAGTGGAGTATTATATTGTTATGCTTTAGTTCTCTGAAACCAAAACCCTGACATTTAGCATTGATTAAGTCTGTAGATGAGACATTACATTGTCCTTATTATTAGAACAGTAGTTTGTCCATTATCACAACAAATATACTGACAAAACTCCAAAAGAATATCAAATAGGGAAGACACATTGGAAGTGATTGATTTTATTTTGGCTAATCTTAGTGACAGTGTCCCATGAAGGGCTTTTCTTCAATATGTCCACTAGATGCTGTATGACATTGGTGAAGCAACGATAAAAGGTGTGGATTGATAAAAAATAATCTGTTCTAGGACACCTTGTTGTTCCTGCTGAATATATCACCAATCATGTCTCCCTGCGTTATGATGAACAAATAAAACCACCTCAAGCGAATTCCACTTTTGCACAGTACTGTACATATACTTGTACTCTGCTGAACACATGAACGGCAGGTTTTCTGCAGCGAGGCAGACCGGAGTGCTGAAGAAAACCACATGTCACAGGTGTGGATAACAGCACCTCAAAGAAACACCTGACAAAAGACCCAAGAGACAACATCAGCTGTCTGCGAACACCAGACCCAAACTGGTGAAGGGTCAAGTTCCTCGATCATAAGTCAGTGGCTGTCTGGAGAAAGATTTGGGATGCCATTCATTTTCAAAGCCAGAGGCCATCCTTAAACAGGGGGTTACAATCTCCGTCCGTACTGTCTGACTCCATGCGACACATCAGTTGCAAACTTTGGACACAACGTGACAGCTTGGCCGGTTTGTTTTTGCTCTAACAAATTTAGTTGAAGGCTCCCTAGAAAGCAAATAAGAGGCTCAAGGTCTGAACTTTCCTTTCCAGTTGTTTTTTTTTCCGTCCATTTCTTCCATTTCTTTAGATAAATCATTCTGTTGGCTCTCTCTGATTGGAACTGGCTAAATAACTGATCCTCACACAGCTAAGCTAAATGCCCACACTAGCACATTGTTCAATTAAGCATGCACACACATACTTTTTTTATTATCATGAATGATTTAAAAGAAAATGGCATGTGTGTTTATATACATTGTTTAATATGATCCCTCACTGACTTCCCACCAGTGGACAAATATAAAAAATGTGATCAACTATGATGAACTGAATTATCCAATATTTACAACAACTGTGGACAGTGTTTTAGTGTGCAGGTCCTATGTCAACCGTATCAGGGTAGCAGCTGCCATGCTCAAGAGCTTTTAATATTGCAGTTAGTTCAGGAAAGTGTTGCTTCCGCCTTTGGAGTGCCAGTCCTGCCTGAGAAATTCAATTCAGACCTTGCTTGACGGAAAAATTTACAAGTCTTACTCGAGTATAAAACAGCCTAAATTGGCTAAAACTATGTTTGAGGGAGCAAGAGAAGGATTATTTATTTTTTTTGTGGTTCAGTAGTTGGACTGGGTTGGGGGGTGGATTGTGGGTCAGAACAGATTTGGCATGTCCAGCTATCAAAGGGCCAACGGATAAAAAAAAAAAACACAGTGATGACACGTTAAAACTGCTCTGGTTGAGTTGGCCGCTCTAGCATCTGATATTAGTTACACATGTTCCTACAAATCCCTCTCCAGCTGTGTTGTGTGGTTCCTGCATTAGGAAATCCCTGACTCTGTCTCTTGCCACTCTTCTCTATCTTTTCCTGGTTTCCCATGTTTGTATACCCGCCTGTACCTTCAAACAATGGCACACAAATGTACAAACACATCTTCACTGTTGGCCTTCCTCCTCGCTGCCTGGCCAGCAACAACATCTCATGCAAGCTTGACACAGTTTTGACTTTTACCATGTGGAACAGCCAAATGTAAAAAGCAGAGGTCTTCGTGGGCCCACAGAGGTTCAAGGAGACCTGATTCAAGAATGATCTTGGATGGGCTTCAGGTTTTACTCAGTCTAATCTAGTTGGGTTCCCTTTAGCTGAAGAAAATCCTGTCACTGGATTTCCACATACAACAACCTGGGAACCTTTAGGACCCACTGCAGTGGATCCTACATTGGCCAGTTGGTGATCCAGTCATGATCCTGGTGAGTCATTCTGGTAGCGTTCTCAGTGAGGGTTGGCTCCAAAGTGGATCATAGGGTAGTTATCTTTGGGGCTTCTTCAAATTGACTCTGACTGTGCTCAAATCCCTTTAGGATCAGGTCTCAGCTTTTTGAAGACGACAGTCTTTCTCAGTGGCTTTGGTATACTTCTTGAATCGTCCTTAAAATTCGTCCCAAACGCATTGCTTGAAATGATTTGTACAAACAGTGGATCACCTGCAGCAACCTGTAACCGACTGCAAATCCCCAGTTTATCGCAAAGATACTTGTTGTCAATATAACCGAGTACTCCCAGTATTTTCTGATGTGAGCTATGATGAGAGTGACTGAAAATGCACTTTTTTGTAAGACATAAATCAGTTCCAACAGAACAAAGTTACCCGTTTCTGTATGTCGTAGATTTATTGCTAGAGATTGGACAGGATTCACATTGACGCCTTTGCTGTTTGTACTGTAACTCGTTGACAGACCACGTCAATGCCATACAGAAAAAGAAAAAGTCAGGACTGTTTTACAGCAGTGCACAGCTCAAAGGAAATGAAAATACATCACAGCAGGCGCCTGCAGAGGCCGGATAGGATGTTCCAAAAGATTCTTTCCAAGCTTGTTGTGGATGAGAATCCGTGGCCTGACAGGAAGGTCAGGAGAGGCCAGACAGCGCCGCATGTACAGTTCTGCCTGAAGGACACGTCTACGTTTATGTGGTCATGTCAGGACACATGTAGAAAAATTATCTAATGGAAATGTACAAAAATATGCTTGACAACTGGCTACATCATTCTGCATGTTAAGGAGCAAATTATGTCTCGATTTTTTTGGGGGGGGGGATTTAACAGAAAACCAATATAATACATTTTGAACAGCATGACAAAAGCAATTAATAATGTAAGAAACAGCAGACAGTTGTGCAAAATCATTACAAGACATGTGCCAAAGCATTTGCAATTTGTTCCAAAGAATGAGAAATTGGTTTTAGGAAGCGCACCGGTGGCGATGTTAAGCTTGAAATAGTTTTGAGAATTTCTGATCTGACAGAGCCGGCTAAGTGGAAAACTGACGCG